TTTCTTCAAATTTCCATTTGACGATGTTGTCATAGTTGCTTCCAAGCTATGTGGTGTACATGATAGGGATCCAGAACACAATGAAACACCCTCTTTCCTTCCTAACCTATATTATTTTCAGAACGCCGGTGATTTAACTGATTTTACCACAGAATTCACAAATTTCCAAGAAATCATAATAGGTGTGTGGGGGGGTGAGCAATTAAGGATGGTGAAATCACTTGCAGGGCATCAAAACTCTTCAGTTGTAACCTGAATAGCACCTCTGTGACCGCAAAATGACTAAGCCAACGGAAATAAAAAAACTAGATGACGTAATACAAGGCGTCTAACTCAAGGCCGCAGGCCGGGATCCTTAGATCTGGCCCGCCGGGCCGCCCTGGAAACAGCTAAGGACCGGTCCGTGGTGCATCTGCCAGCAAAAACAGAATTCGGGAAGGCTGTGTGAGACCCTCCCAGGTTCTGTTTTCAGCCACAACAGCCTCCTGCAGCCCTCTGCCAGCTAAAACAGAGCTTGGGGAGGGGGGGCTACCTAAGGCTCTGGATAGCCTGTGCCATCTTCTGTGGGTCCTCTGTCACATGATCAACATTCAGATGGTTCATATTTATGACGGTTGCGGTGTCCCAGGGTCACGTGTTCCCCTTTTCTGACCTTCTGATGAGCCACGTCAATGAGGGAGCCAGATTCACTTAATAACCGTGTGTCTAATTTAAGAACTGCAGTGATTCACTTAACAAATGTGTCGAGAAAAGTCGTAAAACTGGGCCTGGTGGCTCAGCAGACTGATAGCATTGTGATTAACACCAGCTGTCTGCAATTACTGTAAGTTCGAATCTCACCAGGCTCAAGGTCGACTCAGCCTTCCATCCTTTCTAAGGTAGGTAAATTGAGGACCCAGATTGTGGGGGCAATAAGCTGACTTTGTATAAATATACAAAAGGATGAAGGCTATTGCTTAACGCATTGTAAGCCGCCCTGAGTCTCCGGAGAAGGGCGGCATATAAATCAAATTAAAAAAAAAAAACTTAACAAATGTCTCACTTAACAAGGAATTTTGGGGTCAGTTGTGGTCAGAAGTCCAGGACTATCTCGATTTAGTCCTCCTTGCTATGCTGTGTTTCATCTTGACTATGCTGGGAAAGTGCAACCGTCATAAATACAGGCAGACCTCAACTTACAACAGTTCGTTTAGGGACAGTTTGAAGTTACAACAACACTGAAAAAATTGACTCCTGTCTGTTTTTCACATTTATGACCGTTGCAGCGGCCCCATGGTCATGTGATCAAAATCTCCATCTTTACATCGCCACTTATACCAAAGAAGCATCTGAGTTGTGCAAGACGACAAAACGCTGAATATATTCCTGGGTTATTCCTTAGAGTGCCGTTTATTATAACTCAGGTGCAACAACAAGCACAAACATACAGTATTTTCTCTCTCTACCCTTCTCTGCCCTATCAAAAATCAAAATTTACTACTTTGGGCTGAGGGGGCTAATCGAAAGCAGCTGGCAAACATCTTACTTTGGAGAAGACCGAGAGAAGCAGAAACCAGATCTTACTCATCAATTTTGTTCACGGAGAAAAGTGCGTTCACTGTTTCCTTCATGTATGTCTCCCTTGTGCATTCATTTCCTCCTAGCACCATCCAGCATCAGTTTTAACCTTCCAGAAGGTTAAATTTACGGAATGGTGTAGTGCTGTGATGGCGAACCTATGGCACGCGTGGGGATCTGATTTTCGGGCCTTCTGGGCCGACCAGAAGTAGGGAAACAGGCTGTTTCTTGCCTCCGGAGGGCCTGTGGGGGAGGGGAAGGCCCGTTTTTCTTTCTCACCTAGCTCCAGATCCTCTCTCTATGCAACTGGGGAGGACGGAAACAGCCTTCCCCACCCCCTCGGAGGCCCTCCGGAGACCTGAAACGACCTGTTTCCCAACTTCTGGTTGGACAGAAAGTGACGTTTTTCCCTCTCTAGGAGTCTCTGGAGGCTGGGGACAGCAAAAAACGTCACTTCCTGTCCAACCGGAAGTTGGGAAACAGGCCGTTTCGAGCCTCCAAAGGGGTGGAGAAGGCTGTTTTCGCCCATCCCAGATGAATAGATTGGATCTGGAGCCAGGGGTGAAATCCAGCAAGTTCTGACAGGTTCTGGAGAACCGGTAGTGGAAATTTTGAGTAGTTCGGAGAACCAGCAAATGCCACCTCTGGCTGGCCCCAGAGCAAGGCAGGAATGGAGACTTTGCAATATCCTTCCCCCTGGAGTGGGTGAGAATGGAGATATTGCAGTATCCTTCCCCTGCCACGCCCACCAAGCCACACCACGCCCACCAAGCCACGCTCACAGAACCGGTAGTAAAAAAAATTGAATCTCACCACTGATTTGGACCACAGAGAGAACAAGTACAAAAGAGGAGATACAGTAAAGGTAGACTTCAGGCCTGCTCACCTGTCACGTGAAATGAGCTGTTTAGCAAAGTCACACCTTTTCTCCACCAAGCCAAGCTAGCAGCTCCAGCAAGGTTAATGTCTAAGCGACCATCTGTGGATCAATTGGACTCATCAGGCTGGGAGCGTGGCCTATGTTAATGGCTCTACTGTCCTTCCGGGACTTCAGAATCTTTATGGCTTTTAAGAATTGATCGGATCGCGATAAAAAGTGGGGGGGGGGAGAGGAAAGAATCACAAATCTGCAAGGACCTGAAGTTCCATTTGGCTTGCCTTAAACAGAGATGACCACATAAGAACTTCAAACTCTGTAGATGAGGCCAGAGAAGACACCTTCTGGACAATGGTGGGCACTTTTTTTCATTTTATAGGTAGTCCTCAATTTACAGCAGTTTGTTTAGTGACTGGTTCAAAGTCACAACAGCACTGAAAAATGTGACTTATGGCCGTTCTCCCGAATTACAACCTTTGCAACATCCCCACAATCACATGATGGCAATGGGTTCATCTTTATGACCGTTGCTTTGTCCCAGAGTCACATAATCCCTTTTTGCGACCTTCTGACCAGCGAAGTCAACAGGGAAACCAGATTCACTTAAAAACTGGGTGACTGACTTAACATCTGGTGGCGATTCGCTTAATAAACTGTGCCAAGAAAGTTCACAGTAAAATGAGGGCAAATTCACTTGTTCCACTTAGCAACGGAAATGTTGGGCTCAATTGTGGTCGTAAGTCAACGACCACCTGTATTTCAATCACAAGCCACCACACGGGACTGATCTTCCTGTTTGTGGGTCATCCAGAACAGTGGTGGGTTCCTCTTGGTTCGGCCGGTTCAGCGAGCCGGTAGCGGTGACAATATGAAGTCACTGAACCGGTTCTGGGCCCCCCCCCGCCGCCCTCCCGCCCCGCCCTCCCGTTATTCTTACCTTTTATTTGGCCCCACCCCCAATCTATTCGCTGCCTCCTGAGTCCCAGCTGTTCGGCTAGAAGGAAAAAAACTGTTTAAACTCTTGCTGCAGGGCTTCAAAGGGCCGCCCTACAGCTGATCAGTGTTAAAAGGCAGTGTGGTGGTAGACCGGTGCCTCCAAAAATAAATGGGTAGACCAGTGCCTCCAAAAATAAATGGGTAGACCAGTGCCTCCAAAAACAAATGAGTAGACCGGTGCCTGCAAAAATAAATGGATAGACCAGTGCCTCCAAAAACAAATGAGTAGACCAATGCCTCCAAAAACAAATGAGTAGACCGGTACAGCTCTACAAGCAGTTAAAAGTCTGGTAGACCAGTACCTCTACTAAATCCTAAAGAATTGTCACATGACCATCAAGCCACGCCCACAAAATAAGCCACACCCACAGAACCGGTAGTAAAAAAATTTAGAACCCACCCCTGATCCAGAAAACAGATGGCCAAAATGAAATACAATGAAGGTAGGCCTTGACTCAAAACCAGGTTTTTTTAATGGCAAAAAAAGAACCCTCTTGGGAGAGTGGATTTGGACTTATGGCCTCGAGTTTCGCTTAACAACTGCCGTAAAAAAATGGTCCAAAAAGTGGGATCTGGTCATGGTGCCTTGACTTACAATGACTTATGATTCACAATGACTTACAACCAGAATTCTGATCCCATTTGTGCTTTTAAGTTGTGGACTACCTGTTCAAAAATGTGTCCTTTTCTCTCTTTCTCCCCCTTCTTTCCAGAATTCCGGAAAAAAACACAACTGGAATTTTGTAGACACGGAATGGCATTCTTATACAGTCAAGTCATTTTGTATGTTTTGTGCTGGCAACTGCAGCCCAGCTACATGTCACTCTAGAAGGCGAGAATTCTCTGGTGTTGTGGTCCGCCAGCAGCCTGTAGAGCTGGCAACGGAGTCGGACAGTGAGGAGATTGGGGAGGACAATGGGCCACTCCTGGAGTCAGAGGAAGGCCCCGACGAGGGCTCTGTGTCGGAGGCAGAGATGGGGCCAGGATTCCGGAGCTTCCAGAGGCGGATAGCAGAGAGGCAGAGGAACAGGAGGAGCCTGTTCCTAGTGTACGCATGCGAAGAGCTGCCAGAAGGCAAGAGCAGCTAAAGCAAAAACACTCTGCTTGCTCCATTCAGTTGCCCAGACTCCACGCCTCAAGGGATTATGGGGTCGTTAAATGAAGATAATGATACACAAGGATCTGGTCAATTAAAGTTGAACACTAAATTGTGGAACCAGATAAGGGTCAATGGAATTCAAGAAGGGTTGAACATGGACCGACTGTGAGAACGTAAGGACTTTAGGACAAATTCCTTGTGTGTTAACCACACATGGCCAAGTGTTGTCTTATGTTGCATTGCATTGCATTGCATTCCATTCCACTTTCTACTCCATTTTCTGTCCTGTTCCGTTGTTCTATTCTGTTCTGTTCTCTACTCTAAACTGATGACATGTTTCACTCCACCCTTCAGCTCTGTCTGCTCTTTATCGCCATACCTCCATACTTTCACACTTAGTAAGGATGAAGGTACATCATATTTTGCACCTCACCTGTCCCCACCCAAAGCACATCAAAGAAGCATCCTTACCCGTTTCATCCGGAGAACTCAGAGAAGCGCTGTCTTGAGACAATGTGGTCCAGCTAGAGTCTTCATCGCTCGGAGCCAGGTTCTGGATCCTGTGTAGCGCGCAATCTGTCTTGGCCCCCGTTTTAGGATGATCCTTTTTAGTCTCTGGACTGGAAGAGATGGTTGCTGCTGGCCCATCTTCGGGACTTGCTGCCTTGTTTTGCTTCTGAGTCAAGGTATCTCCATTCACCATGACCACGGAGGCTTGGCTATTGCATTGTGAAGGCAACTTCTCCTCCGCCATCACTTGGCTCTCCCCATAATTCTGTTCCACCTCCCTGGCTGATGTCTCCAGATCTGCATAGTAGTTTAGGAAGCTCTTCGATCTTCGGTGTTGGGTGGGCAGGATTTCGCTGCTGGAAGAGTCCTGTTGGCTTGGTTCCTTCCCCTCCAACTTCTCAGAAGTTATGTTTAGACCCGTCGTCACTGACGGAGCAGCGAGGTTTTTATTGGGATCCTGCTGTCCTTGCTCAGCTGCTTTCCTAAGTTGGTTTTCTCCGTTTTTCACCAGCTTTATGTTGGAGGAATTGCTGCCCAGCAAAGGCTGGGCTGCAGGATCTGAAAGACCCATGGCCGTCTGAATGTTGGTCAGGGCGTATTTCTTCCTGCATTTGGGAGGGGTGCCATTCTTGACCTCCGTATGCTTGATTTCGGCATTCAGCAGTTCGTTGTGGGAGGAGCGCAGGTGAAGGGTGTTGGGGGGCGTGGCGGGTCCATTCCGATTCACAACGTCTGACGTGCCGTTACTTGCCATAAACCCCGCCAAGGTTTCCACACCGGAATCAACTAGAGGAGAAACACAAAGGCTGGTGAGAAACACAACGTCCGCTAACGCCCAGTGCAAATCACAACGGTGCGCCAAAGCTTCAAGATGGTACATCTTCTGCACAGTCTCTAGTTGGGACCAAGGTCTTAATACAGTCATTTGGGACAGAGTTCCCCAACCTTTCTGGGTTGGTGGCCCAGAGGAGAGACGAGGGGCAGGCACCTTTACACATGCATGTGCATATGTGAACGGGGTTGCGCACGGGGGGGCGGTTGCTGCTAGAATCCACGCGACACTTGCAGCAACGCTAAAGCCCGTGTGATGCTCGTGGTGATGCTAGCATCAGTGGGAAGTGTGCACACATGCACTTGCATTGGCCTGCCAATCACGCGGCCCGGTGGCTAACAGGCCACGGCCCGGTAATGGGTCGCGGCCCACATGTTGGGGACCCCTGATTTAGGAATTCTCTCTTTTGTAGTGTTTGAGATGATGCTAATCTCCCCACCTGCCCAGTGGTGGGAGAATTCAAGACTCAGGACTGTCCAACTTTAGCAGCTTGAAGATCTGTGGACTTCAACTCCCAGACTTCCCACAGGTTTTAAAGCAGCCAATATTAACCCCCCCACCCTGAATTAAACATTTGATGCAGAAGACACCCTGGATTTACAAATTTGATCAGGAGGAATTCTGGGATATTAGAGTGTGACTATTTTGAGACAACCCAGGAACAAATTACAGTAAACAGGTTTGTCTTCCAAATAGTGGTTTATCTACAAGGAATATATATATACACCTACTAGGCAAAGTCAGGCAATCAATCATCAACTATAGCATGGAAGCACACAGAGGGAGGGAGAGATATGCCCTCACAGGGCCTCTCTTGTATTACAGCATCTTAAAGTGGCAGCAGTCAACTAACCCTGCTGACTCATTGCTACCATTGCATCATCATTACAGCGTTACAGTATTACAACATTACAGAATCTCGTCAGGTATTAAATCATCGTTACCCTGACATGGGAGTTGAAGTCCACAGATCTTAAGTTTGCCCCGATTTACACATTTGATGCAGAAGAAACTACTAAGGATTTATGGTTTTTTCTAAGATACTCCTTCAGGTTTCTAACGTTTGGTGCCATAACCCCTACCCCAAACAGGGTCTCTTATCCTTTTTTTTTTTTTTTTTTTTTTTTTTTTTTTTTTCAAGTTTTACAATTACATTTTCACCCCTTTTTTTTTTCACCCCCCCACCTCCCTCCCCAAACTTCCCGTCCTCCCTAACCCTCCCTAACCCCCCCCCCAGACTTCCCTATTATGTACTATAACTAATAACACTGATATATATACCTGAACCCATCCCTCCCCCTACATAATTTTCCCTCTTTGTCTCTTTATATTAAAATATTTCTAATACATTGTTTTCAAATAAAAGCTATTTGATACTTTCTAATTTGGTATTTGTTCTGAACATATTCTATCCACCTTTTCCATTCCCATTCATAAGTCTCTTGTGAACAATCTTTTAAATATGCTGAAATCTTCGCCATCTCTGCAAAACTGGCCATCTTCGAAGTCCATTCCTCGATAGTAGGCAAAGCTTCATTCTTCCAATATTTACCTATCAACAATCTTGCTGCTGTTATCATATACAATATTAATTTTGTTTCATCCCGTGTAAAACCCTTAACTATGCCCAATAAAAACAATTGTGGAGAAAATTGAATTTTTTTCTTCAAAACATTCTGCATGACCCACCATATTTTTATCCAAAAAGCCTTAACTTTCCTACAGGTCCACCAAACATGATAATACGTAGCATCCAAACATTCACATCTCCAACATTTTGGCTGAACATTAGGGTACATACATGACAACTTTTTAGGATCTAGATGCCATCTATAAAACATTTTATAGAAATTTTCCCTCAAATTCTGCGACTGTGTAAATTTAACATTCTGAACCCAAATTTTTTCCCATGTTTCCAACATCACTGGTTCTTCAAAATTTTGTGCCCACTTAATCATACAATCTTTAACTAATTCCGTTTCTGAATCCCTTTCTAGCAAAACATTGTAAAGCCTTTTAATATGCATTGGACCTTTCTCTCTTATATGTCTAACCAATTCTTCCTCATGCAACATAATACCAGTTTTTTGGTCCTCTTTCCATCTCAGTTGTAATTGATTATATTGTAACCAGGTTAAATTAATCCCTTCGTCCAACAGTGTCTGCAATGTCTTCAACTGCCATCTGCCCGCATCTGTAAAAAGAACCTCTTTGTATAAAAACCCCCCGAGTGACATTATATTTGTATTCCACAAGGTATGACCAAGATCCAGCCATAGCGGTATTTTATAATCCCATTTGAGTCGGTGCTTCTTCCAAACTCTCATCAAAGAGTCTCTAAGTATATGACTTTTAAATACTTTATCAACTTTGTCATCATAAAATAGGTAAGCATGCCATCCAAATTCAAGATCAAAACTTTCTGCATTCAATATTCCAGCCTTTTTACTTCCAAACCAATCACTTGTTAAAGTTAAAGCTGCTGCATCATAATATAACTGTAGGTTTGGAAGTTTAAGGCCTCCTCTTTCTGGAACATCTTGCATAATTTTCAATTTCACTCTCGGCTTTTTCTCGTTCCAGACAAACTTATTAAGTCCAGTTTGCCAAACTTTCAGTTGTTTATCACTTTTAAGCACCGGAATCATTTGAAACAAAAACAGAAATCTTGGCAAAATGTTCATCTTAACTGCTGCTATTCTTCCAAGTAAAGACAGTTGCAGCTTTTTCCAAGTCTCCATGTCTTTCTGAGCCTCTCGCCACAACACCTCATAGTTATTTTGAAACAATTTCATGTTTGATTCTGCAACCTGAACTCCAAGATATTTTACCTTAGGTACAATTTCAAAACCTGCCCTCCTTTCAAACTCATATTTACGATCTTGTGTCATATTTTTGACTATCATTTTAGTCTTTTTTGAGTTCACTCTAAAACCTGAAACTCTACCATAGTCTTGTATAATGTCGTTCATCAAGATTATTGATTCCATTGGTTGTGATAGGGTAACCACCAGATCATCTGCAAATGCCTTTACTCTATAATCCTCTTGCCTTATCATTATGCCTTTCAAAATTTTTGAGTCCCGTATTGTATTTAGCAAGACTTCCAATGTTAAAATAAATAAAAGTGGGGACAACGGACATCCCTGTCTTGTTCCTTTTTCAATTTTAAACTCTGTCGTCAAACTTCCATTAATAATAATCTGTGCTTTTTGCTCTTGATAAATTGCTGAAATTGCCTGTGTAAACTGGTCCCCAAAGCCCATCTTTTTTAAAGTCTTTAGTAGAAAATTCCAATCCACTCTATCAAAGGCCTTCTCCGCATCCAAAAAGACCAGCACTGCAGAAATCTGTTTATTCTTATCAAGATATTCCAATAAGTCTATTACTTGCCTTACATTGTCCTTCATGTATCTACCCTCAATAAATCCCGCTTGGTCCTCATGAATCACCTTTTGGATTACTGGCATCAACCTGTTGGCTAATACCTTCGCGTAAATTTTATAGTCTGTATTCAAAAGAGATATTGGTCTGTAGTTCTCTGGTTTTTTAGGACCAACTTGTTCTTTTGGTATCAAAGATATATAAGCAGTTGTCCAGGATGGGGGTATTTTACCCCCTTGTTGAATATTGCAAAATAAATCTCTAAGTTGTCCCACCATTTCAGCTTGTAAAGTTTTATAGTACACTGCAGTCAAACCATCCGTGCCAGGAGCTTTGGCTGTTTTTAGCTGTTTAATTGCTGCTGTTATCTCCTCCTCTGTTATAGGATAATTCATTCTTTCCTTTTGTTGATCAGTAATTTTTGTAACTCTCTTATCCTTTAAATATTTTTCTATAAGTCCATTCTGCACCTCATCTTTGGCATATAGTTTAGTATAATAATCCACAAAAGCTTCTTTAATTAGTTTTTGTTGAAAGATTTCTTTCCCTCCAATATCAATACTATCAATAGTCCGTATACTTTGTTTTTTCCTCAATGTGTAAGCCAACCATCTGCCCGGTTTATTAGCATTGCAAAATGTATTATGCTTCGCGTATTGTAAACTTGTTGCAACTTGTTCCGCCATAAGCATTTGGAATTGATCTTTCAAAAGTTTTATAGCACTTCGTATTCTTTCATCTGTTGGGTTTTTAATAAGTAACTGTTCTTTATTCTTTATTTCCATTTCCAACTCAGATCTTTTCTTTTGTCGGAACAGTCTATATTTAGAATTCATGTAGATAAGTACCCCTCTCATATAAGCTTTACTTGCATCCCAAACAATTTCAACTGGGGTACCTTTATTCAAATTTATTTCAAAAAATTCTTTCAAATGCTTTTTAAGTTCTATTATATTTTTTTCATATCTAAACAGGTTCTCATTTAATCTCCAAGAACGTCTCTCAACCTTATCCATCTCAATTTCTATCCATACAGGACTATGATCAGTCAAAATTCTTGGAAAAATCTTTGTTCTTTTTGTCTTAACAAGTAGATCATTTGACAACAAGATAAAATCAATCCTAGAAAAAGATCTATGTCTATCAGAAAAAAAAGTGTAATCCAATTCATTTGGGTTATGTATTCTCCAAACATCTTTTAGTTCCATATCTTCTTTCATATCAAAAAAGGTCTGTGGTAATCTAATTCTAGACTTTGCCAAGCTCTTTTTATCTAATTTAGAATCAATTACTCCATTCCAATCTCCCATAATTAAAATAGATCTGTAGTCCCATTGCAATATTTTAGTATGTAACATCTTGTAAAAATAATCCTGTTGTTGGTTGGGAGCATAAATTCCAATCAAAAGAATTTGTCCATTTGCTGTGAACAATTCAATTGCTACAAATCTACCATCTTGATCTACTTCTATAACTTTTGCTGTTAATTTTTTATTTACATAAATAACCACACCATTCTTTTTCTGCGAAGTTGAAGATATATAATGTGCTCCTAGTTTTGAGTTTATCA